GATTTCATGCCATGAACTCATGACTTTCTAGTTACATGACAGTTGCCACTCCTCTTTTTTCTCTTTAACATAACAACAAACAAGCTTTATCCCACTAAGTGGGATTGGCTACATGGATCAAATTCTGGCATAATGTTCTATCTAAAATTATGTTTCTATCCAATTTGTTGACTTCAAGATCTTTTTAGTAGTTTGTCCTGTAGTTTCTCTGGGTCTTTCTCCACCTTTAATTGTTTGACTATTCAACATTTGATCCACTCCCTTTATAGCAGAATCCACATGTCTTCTCTCTACATGTTCAAATTACCTAACCCTATTTTCTATCAAATTTTTTACTATAGGTGTTATTCCAACACTCTAATATTGTCATTTCTAATCATATCTTGTTCCGTCTAATCTTTTCATGTTTTTCTCTTTAACAAGTGAAAAGAAAATCGCGGAAACATATAATTTGTCTCTTTTATCGGTGTTACAAATGTTGTGTCTAGATGGTCTGGGGTTCAAGCAGTAGAATCGATTTCTTGTAAATTCAAGGTTTGCTCAGTGGAGCCAATCCTACCCTGGGTTTGCTAAGGTGGGAGCTTTGTAGCACCAGTTTTACATTTTTTTCTTCTTTTATCAGTGTTACATAATACATTATGCTTTGAATTTTGATGATAGACTGCTTTGTTATGATGTTATCCTTCTGGTGTATTTAAGAGTGTTCAGCGTTTATGGTTCATGGACAGGATGTTGCCTGTTCTTGACTTCTGGCAACTGGTTCATTTCCTGTAATGATAGCTGTGTATTTTCCGGTAAAATAATCTGTATGGAATTTTAAAATACAAATAAATTATTGATTCTGAAATACCACGTGCTTGTCATTCTAGTGTTCAAAGCCTACTTAACTGTTGTGGAAGAGTTGGGAAGTGTTTTGACTTAAAAGTCACGACGGTGCTGATTTGTTCCCTCATTCAGTTCATCAACATTATTTGCTTGCTTGTGCAGGATTCTTGGAAGACTACGCTTCTTTTGAGGGTGAAGGAAAAGCTGAAAGCCAAAGAACTTGAAGAGGATGATCTTACATAAACTGTAATCCAGCATTCTGTTGGGTGGACATAATATTGATGATTTTCTTTGTTATATGCTTGTCTGTTCTGTTGTTCCGTCCTACACTTGTATTTTATAGAGTGTACTTGCTTTGGTTTCTCAATTGAATCGGCCGGACTGAATTCAAGAAATGATTTTATCGAGGTTGCTTGAGCTTGAGTTTGAATGAAACTGAAACTACTATGATATCTTGTTAACACTTTACCCTATGTTTTTATGTGGACCAGGTTCTAATGTTACATACACGTGTTTTCTTAAGCTATATATATACCATATAATAATTTTTAAAAACATATAATTTAACTATCACAATTTTATTTATTAGCATATCTTATGCTATATTATTGGCATTATCATGTCAAATAATTTTTAAATTATTATCTATCAAGTTAGTCATTCAATTGCTTATAAAAATAGAATATAATTCAGGAATTTTGAAGATGGATTCAAGATAACTTATGGATTATTTATTAAATTTCTATAATTCAAGACAATACATATTGTAGAGTAAAAGTTTTGAGAACAAAATGAAGTCTTATTCAATCTAGATTAAGAACTAAATTTTTATTGCGTCATATAGTTATCAAATTGTCTACAAGTTCTCAAAGCTTTTATAAGGTTTGTTGTTTTATTGCTAAAGTTTAGGAAAAGAAAGTGGAAAGAATGAGACGGGTCATCAAAAGTAAAGTAAATTAAGCACATCCTTGTCCATTTTTATTTTCACCCCGACAACTTGTTGTGGGTTTCCTTTTCGAATTGGTTTTGTGAGATTCTTAAAAAAGATGTGAAGTTAAGAACTAATAATGTAAAATAGTTTTAAATCATAGCTTAAAATTCATCACTCAGCCATGTCATAACACTAACAAAAATTAAGATTGGTTGACTTTATATGCATATCTTATTTTTTCTTAAAGTTTTGGTCATTAATTTAATTACATTACCCTTCATTTTTTTACTCACTCCAGAAAAATTCAGCTAGATGCAATTTTTTAAAAAACTTTAATCACAATATTAAAAGTTATTATTATTATTATTTATATAATTTATTAAAAATATATTTTAATTTTATCTTAATTTTTTACATAATCTTTTTGAAAGACATTCATTTTATTGAAAGTGATTGAATTCAACGAGCACATATCTATTATAAATATATAAAAATTAAAGTATTTAAATAAATCAAGTTAAAAATGACTATTTAAAACTTTGTTACAATCAGATTTATTTTTTAACATTTAATTTTTAACATTTAATATTACTTATGTATCATATGTTATTAGATTTTTGAAATAATTTTGAAATAATTTTATACTAAATTTATATTTATTTGGTTAAATAAAAATTTTCTCTTAGGGAATTGAGAAGCTACGTTATTTGGTTAAATGTCTCCAAATTTCAATATCTTTTGAATCAAAAAATCACACAGAGAAGATGAAAAAACGTAACTTCTGCATTGATTTTCTATTTATCTCATATTCTCTCTCTAATCCATGTCCAAATACTCCTTCAAATACCAACAATCATCATACCGTATTCTCTCTCTAATTCCTGCTCAAATACTTCTTAAAAAATCAACAATCATCATATTGAATCTCTGCTAAAACCCACCACAATCCTTCAAACCTTCTGATCTTACTGGATCAGAGATGGACCGTCACAGTTGGCTTCGGACAGAAGTTGATGAGATGGGGGGGGAGAGTACCTGCAAGACACTCCGATGGTAAAGTAAGAAGCAGAATAAGCAAGCAAGTATGAGTTTAGAAATGTGTGAATGAATACCTGACCCTCTTGTGAGAGAGGGTATTTATAGCCCTCAGCGCTGGGCCAAGGTTCCCACTCTTGGGCCACGCGGAGGTCCAATAACAGGAACTGCCAGGGTTTACGTGTGTATGGAGTCCAGCAAATGGACTCCCCCTGGTCAACTGCTCCGCGAGAATAGGGCTGGACCCGAGATTCCCGGAGGACAGTTTGGGATGTCTGTCAGGAGGTCGTGGGCCACGTCCTCCAACGGTTGGATGGGGAGTTGCCCCACGGTCCCTAACTTGGGCTGTCTTTGGGCTTCCCGTTCGTAGGGAAAATGTAGGCCCAATCCAGATCAGGAGCCCCCCAAGTTATTGTCCTCGAGCTAGAGGGTGATGACTTGAGTTCAGCTCTCGCTACCGAAGACTTGGTCGAGGTAGAGGGCCAAAGTCCCCGAAGGGAGCGAGTCGTTGCCTGCGGGGGGCCAGGATCGAGCACGTCGGGGAATATCATGGACCAATGGGGATCGGGACCGAAGGGGTCAATCGCTTGCTCGAAAGGACATATTGGTGGCGGGGAGCCTCAGCGAGATCTCCTTTGATATGCCCGTCTCCTGGGAGTTGTTAGATTGTCGAGCACTTCCTCATCCGCGAGATGGTTAAATAAAGGCGCCCCTTCGTGCACTCAAATGGCGAGCACTTCCTCGTGTAAGTGTTTGCCTCACACGTTTAATAGTTGAGCCACATGGCTAGTGCTTTGGGATGCCACCCCTTCAAGGAAAGAGCAAAAGGGGCCAATGAGGTGATGACCCTTCGTGAGGGATCCCTTGGGGAGTGGGTCGCCTATAAAAGGGAGCCGTTGGGTCTCATTTGTCACCTTCTCAAGTTTCCTCTCAATCTTTTCTTTGCTCGTGGCATGAAGCGGTTCTCTCAACATCTCAATTTTTCTTTGCTCGTGGCGTGAGGCGATTCTCTCAACTTTTCAATTTCTCCCTCCAAGTTCTTCATCCAAGTAAGCTATAACCTTTCAACAACATGTTTCTTGAGCGTTTCTGGATTAAATGTAAAAAATTTGTCTTGATTGGATGAACATTCATGAGTTTTAGGATGAATACTCATGAATGTTCGTTTGAGTTCATGGGTTCCGTGTCGAGCACTCATGAATGTGCCGGGCACTTATGAAAATTCATGTTATATTGTTGGGGAGGACTCCTTAGGCTAGTGTGCATCCCGAATTTTTGCTCGGCGAGTGATCCCCCGACTACATGTCCTTGGAATGCAATGGTCCGCTTTAGCATGTCGAGGGCTTGGGTCGAGTTCGTCGCCCTTTCACTTGATCTGCGGTAGAAGGGTGGATTTGATAATGTCGAATTCATTAACTTCCCCTGCTTTTCAGGTACAATGGCACGTTCAGTCAGGGACGACATTCCAGTCGCCCATCATGAAGACGAGCCCCGTAGCGATGAGGACCCTTTGGCTTGGGTTGCTCCAAAGCCCCGAGATAAACAATCGTGCTTTTCACAGGATGCGACAGACGCGTTCAACTGTCCGGAGGAACGCGCAGAAGGGGCCCCAACCAACTGGATGCTTCAAATTCCCCATCGGGACCGAAGGATATGCTCGACGTATCCGAGCAAATGGTTTACCATGTACGAATTTTCTTTCAAAGAGGCGGGGAAGCGCCTGCCCTTCAACGATTTCCAGGTCGGGGTTTTCCAATGGCTTCAGTTGGCGCCTTCCCAACTTCATCCAAACGTGCTGGCGTTTATGCGGACGTTTGAGCTCGTCTGCCAATACTTGGGGATAGGCGCCACGCCGCCCCTTTTCTTCCGCATCTTTCACCTACAAAGACAGTCTATCCGAGGGAGGAAGGCGTGGGTATCCTTCAAGCATTTCGGGAAACTCTTCCGGCCTTATCTGGAGTCCGTCTGAAATTTTAAAGAGAGGTACTTCATCGTGAAGCCCCTGACGGACGCGACCATAGATTCTCTCTATACCCGTGTGGAAGAGGTGGAGGACGGGCGGCCAGTTACCCGACTTATGGCCAGATTCTCGCTCGAATGGTAGTGGAGGCTTTATGAGCAAAGGCCCGAATACTATGCAGTGAAACCCGAGGATTTGGATGCCCAAGACCAGCTTTCGTACGAGAAGCTGTCGGCTTATGTTAAAGGTTTCTCCCCCGCAAAGTGCATGGACGTGAACGACAACCTGTTGTTTGACGAGGAGGGAGAGTATCTCTTAGTCAATAGGTTGATCAATACTAAGGCCTCGCTCGAGTGCTCCTCGAATGGGGAAGCCATGAGGCTTTTGGGTAAGGCGTAGCCGTTACTTTGCTCCTTTTTACGCGGGGACGTCTCTGCTCTGTTTTTGATTTTTCCAACTCGACTAATGATTTTCTTTGATTGTGGCTCGAATGGCATCTCTTTCCGAGAGTTTGTTGAAACTGAGGCCCAAAAACGCATCCACTTCTGGACCACGAAGCAGAGTCTCCCAACTTTAGGAATAGGCCAAGTCTACCGGTCGGGCCAATTGTTCCCCTTCCTCCTCAAAAAATCTAGCTTCTACTAATCCGGCCTAGATTCCGGTCAACGAGCCCATGTCTAAGAGGAAGCGTGCAGATAATGTTGTGGGCGTACCGTCCGAGGGTGACAAAACGTCCGCGGGGGTTTTCGTATTGCCTCCTTGCTATCTAAACCGCGACCTCTTCAGCGAGGAGGACTCCCTCGGCATGCGCGAGGAGGAGAGAGAGGCCATCTTGACTGAAGACAAGGAGATTCGTCGGAAGCACTTGGCCGAGGACGTGGCTGATGTGATGAGGGTGCTCGAGAAGGCCCTTTCGCTCAATGATGAGTCCTCGAGTGCTCAAGCCTCCCTCGACACGGCCTATGCCAAAATCCACAAGCTGAAGGTCAAGAATGAGAAGTTGAAGGGTGATATCCTCAACCATGAGTCAAGGTTCGAGGCCCAAGTTCAGCTTCTCAAGGACTTAAACGAGCTGAGGCCTCAGTTAGAGACGACCACTAGGGAGAACGAGCGTCTGGTCGCTCATAATTTGGAGCTAGAAGGGATGATCGTGTAACACCCCAATTTTACCCCTCGTAATTAATAATAAAATCAGAGTTTCAAAATTTCATTCAAACATAAATTGAGGTATCACATATTCGTGTTTTCATCACTTTGCATTATAATGCACATCAAAAAAATCAAAAGTCGGATATACCGATTCATAACATAAATCAT